TGTGGCCACGAGAGGCGGCTGCACTAGAATACTCCATCTTTCCACGCGGCTGTACTGCTAAGCTATATAATAACCTCTATAGCAGCTACACATAAAAAAATGTTGCGCTGATCGCCAGGTCTTAAAGGCACAGCGCGCGGTATATCCGATGCGGCGGCGAAATCCACCATCACCTACTATTTATCAGATGTCTACAAAGATCTTCTAATGCATATTGTTGTAATGCTATAATTGTCCGTGGATGGAATACCCCGCAAGCGATCGATAACGTGNGCCAGACTCTTCCGTCAAGGTACGACAAAGGACGTCATCTTGCCAAACAAATCCCAAGAGGTTTCATCAAGAAACACTGCATATCAAACGCAGCATCCTCGATATATTGGAGTACAGCACAAAGAATGTCACGACGGCGGCACTGACAACGGATCATACAATGGCTCGTGCAACCATCCCAACAACCCGCGAACAAAATCACAACGCAGCACGACTTACAACGCCATCACAAAAGCGAATTTGCTACGTAGAGTGTCAATAACACATGCGCGGCGAAAAAAATCTATTGCAAAAAGCGTCAAAAGTTGTAAAGGCAGTGCGCACGTGTGTTGCATGTAGTCCGCGCACGCACCCCACCCATAAATGAATCCCGCACAATGCCCCAACCGCCAAATCGGCATATTCAAACTAGAAACCCTCAAACCAAAGCCCAGGCACCCAGGCACTGCCCATATTTTCTTGAGTTACACAGCATTATTATAGTCTACCTGCTACCGCCCCCTTATGTATAACAAAACACCCCAGCCCCCCTTTCCCCCATTTGCGAGGAGGAACGGGTCAGTTAGGAGCAAAAGGATGGCAGGGCATGACGGGGGCCCCCGGCAACCTAGCCAAATTGACATCGTAGGCCGTCATCATATGGCCACAGAGTCCGGGATATGGCAAAACAGGCGAAGGGAAGGGGGGAAACGAGGGGGGTATGGGTCGATTTTAGGATCGTTAGGATTGCCAAGGGCATGAGGGGGGGCCACGGCAACCTAGCCAGGATGCCCTCGCACGGTGTCATATGGCCATACCGTCCTGGGATAGGGCGAAACGTCGGGAGAGGGGGGGGGGGTAACGAGGCGGGGCGGGGTGGGTATTGCATCATCATGGCCACCATAGCTTTAGCATGGGAACAAAACCTCCTGCATTTACAGGAACACAACTGCTACAGTACATAGCTTGCTTGGGACAGGGCAAAGGTGCCGCCCGCCTTCTTGTGGGTCTGTGGGTTCAAGTCCCAGCTTTGTCCTGTAACCCGATAACTATATGGTGGCGCTAGGGCTTGGCAGGGCAAGTGCTGTGCTAGGCGGCTCGGGCAAAGGGGCGCCCGCCCTAAGTCATCTTCCCTTCCGTGTGGAGGTCGCGTACACACTGCGGCGGACTACGCGCGCACACACACGGAGCAACGTACGTGCGCGCTGCCTTCACACCTTTTTGACGCCTGGTGCTACAGATTTGTTCGCCGCGCATGTGTTGACACACTTCGTTGCAAGATCGCTTTTCTTATGGCTGCGATGGGATCTGAAGCTATGGAAATGGCAGGCGGATTGCGAAGCAAAGCATGGACAAGCTTTGTTTCTTTTCCGTTGTTCATGATATTACAGCTGCGTGAGATGCCGTCGCGTCGCGATTTGGAAAATGTTTGTTCGCTGGTTGGAGTGGTTGTACGAGCCGTTGTATGAGCCGTTGTCGGTGCCGCTCTGAGTTGTTGTCGGCTTTTTCGACATCGTATGCGCTGTAATCGAATGCATATCGAGGATGCCGCACTTTGATTTGCTGTGTTGCTTGATGAAATACACAGTTTGCCAGGCGGTTGTTGTTCGATGGTGTGTCCGGACATTAGCCGCCCGTGGCTGTGCGGCCGCTTAGAGGAAAGGGACCATACACCAGGTCATGTCCTCAAAAATCATGTACACGTCTATATGCGCATCACCCGCTTTAGTCTGTGGAGTTGC